GCGCAGAGGGTGACCGACGGCTGTGCAGCCACCTGAGCCAGCATGGCATACCAAGCAGATTCTGGGCATCCATGTCAGCCACCATTTCAGCCAGGTCCAGGCTCCACTCGGCTCTGTGGCACTAAGAGCAGGCAGGCCGGTGCAAGGGGCATTTACAGGCCATATACAGCAGTTTTAACTGTATTATATTATCGTAGGAGTAGTAACATCTGTAGTGAAAGGAAGGCAGTTCTAAGTTCAGTTCTCCTTACTAAGTAAATGTTGCCTTTTGTTTTAAAAGAAGAAATGAGGATATATTAACAAAAAAAAAAAAAAAACCAAAAACCACCAAGAATGTATCTGTCTTGCTCCCCGACAAGCAAAATCTTCTCCTGTTCCATATACGTAAATGGTAAAATTATCCCCGATTTCCTTAAGAGTCCTAAAGTGCTACAGGTATTTACACACCAACAAAGACTCTCCTACAATAACAAGCAATTTCAACAACACAGGGAACTGCACAGAGGGGGTTGGCAGAGAACAAAGAACACAGATGCAGAATAACAACTAATGCATGGGAATTTTACCACATACAGAAAAAATTACAAATGTCTTTAGCAAATGCTGGAATGAAAGATTTTCCAATAAGATTTTCCATTTAACAGCAAATTATTTTCTCCTGAAAATGGGAACAAATGCAACAGCTTCGAAATAACTGTTTTAACACTGCATGCAAACCTAACTTGCAAATATTCACATTTGCTAACACCTAAATTAGATGTTATAACTGGCAATGCAATTCAGTCTTTTCACTTGAATATACAGTAAAAGTCAAAACCTGTAAACTTATAGGTTTATATTTAAAAAACTGAATTTTTTCTAGAACTCTTAGCCCAGCTAAGGAACAATTCAGATGTAGTTTTAAAACCTGATTAATTTGTTTACTTTTCTGTACAGACAATCAACAATTAGAGACTAATTTTCCCATAACAAGGACAAGACATTCCTTTCTAGACAAGACATTAACCCAAGGCTGAGATCTATCAAACCGGTATTCTTACGAGGTATTTTAAGTAACGTTTCCTTTAACATTACTTCAGCAAGCCATACTTTTGAAAAAGTATTTTCCTTGCTCTTTGGTCTTTGTATTTGGACTCCCAAGCTTGTTACCAAGACCCAGAGAAGCACTTTTTTTTTTTTTTTAGCAGAAAACTCCACATCCTCAGGCACTGAACAGGTCTGGCCACATTGATAACATGGCAAGGTACAGATTTACCCAGGCAAGGTACAGATTTGGACCTGCAGCATCCCGCTGCAGAAAGCCCTGGACCTTTCTGGTCAGCCCTGGGAGCCTGTTTCACAGCCCTAATGAATGCAACGCCTGCAGACTTCAGCAGGTATTTTTCTCCAGTAAAGCCTAGAAGAGCAGATGCCATCAGGCCATGCTCTCACAGGATAAGAGCTGTTTCACACCACAAATAAGTCTTTGCAGGGTTTCATAACCGGCATTTCTGGGCCCATCCCTACAGCTGCTCACCCTGCCCTCGCACTAGCCCAGTACGAGAACCAGGGCACAAAGCAGCAAACCAGCAGCAAACCAGCATCCACGTTGCGACGGTCGCTCCCGAGCAGGCTCCTTCCAAACACCTACTCAACACACGAGTTTGCCACAACTGCACCATTATCGACGTGAGCTTATTTCAAGACAGCGGACATGGGGAACAGGCATCTTTGGTGGCCACTAAAGTTACCCGCAGCCTGGCGCCTTCGTGCTACCCGAGGAGCTGCGGTAAGAAGTTGCCCCACGCCGAGGAAGCACCGGGACCGAGGCACCCCGGAGCCTTACCTGCTGCCGTCTCCTCACGGAGGGGAGCGCCCGAGCGCGGCTGTCGGGCCCGCTCCCGCCGCCGGGCGGCAGGAAGGCCGGGCGACGCCCGACCGGCGCGACGCCACCGCCCGCGCTTCTGGCCTGCTCCAAGAATGTAACCGAAAAAAAAAGTCTCCAGCAAAGGGCGATATTTTTGCCTAAACGTCAGCGGGTTTCTGGAGAGCCAGTTACTAACAACACTTGGCGAGGGAACCCAGCCGCCCCCCGGCTTTCCTTACAGGCGCAAGCGGGGGCGCGCACGGGCTGCTGTCAGCCCGAACACACGCGGCTCCTACGCTAGAGCTACTGAGCGCCTTGTATCAGAGCGATTCTTTTTAAGTTACTATGATTACCGTACACCGTTACAAAACGCATTGCCTTATTTTATTCATGTCTTAAATGGGTAAAAATCAACCTATAGAAAAGAAATCATCTGTGTTCTTTTCCTTCTAATTACAACTCTCACACAGCTTGGAAAGACGCTTGAGATCCTGTTGCACCATGAAAGGCATTTAGGAGTTTGGTCTCACCTCCGTGTTTGATTAATTAGTTGCTTCATAGAATCGTTTAGGTTGGAAAAGACCTTTAAGATCATCAAGTCCAACCGTTAGCCTAGCGCTGCCAAGCCCACCGCTAGACCATGTCCCTAAAGGTTTGATGGTGGGGCTAAGATGAGGGGTGAGCAGGTGCGCTGGTCGTCGGGCTGAAGGTTCAGCTGCAGTGCTGCTTGTAAGAGCCCAAGGCCAGAACTAATTACTATTTAGAGGCTCATTTACCGGGACCACTTACTTATCTGATCACGAAGGAAATGCTGCTGTTTTGCAGAAGAAAAGGGGTAAATGCTTCCACCTATGGCACTGTCTGGAGTCGGACTGTAGGTGCAACCCATAATTCCCCCATAGACCATACGCACTTGTTCTGAGGAGCTGGCAGGAAAGTGCAGCATTACATTTATTGAAAGTATTGATTCGCACACTATTAGGAGCACAGTACCACTTCAGGAAAGGTTCTCAGAAATATGACTATATTAAGTAACGTCAGACGTAAACCAACCACCTGGTCCACTTTTGTACATGCTAAATTCATTTTTTTTCCAGATCTGTCCATACCACACAGGTATGGTTAGTAGCCCTCGTTCTGCTGGCCTAGTATTCTATACAGCTTGACCTGTCCCAGCACTGGCTTCTGAGAACAGAGATCATAACGTAGTTTAAAAGAAGAAAAAAAAGGGAAAAAAAAGGGCATGTGAACCTACTATCCTAAGGCTCTGTTAGGGTCTGGCAAGCTACGCTGGAAGCTGGTTTTATCCTTATGGCCAAAAGCAGAATACAGTGGAAGCCTCCCCCAAGAAGAGAGAATTTACAGCTTTTATTAGGTCTTACAGATAACCATAGTATGCTTTATCAGTAGTCACGGTACGGGCCAAAAGAGATATACAATTCATGTGAACATATTCTATTACTAAACTAGTATTACCACAAAAATGAAAAGGACTTTTCCAGACCAGAAGACTGCTTATATCTGGCTGTTCTCAAGAGATGTTTTAAATTGTTTACAAATAGTCTCATTATCATATATCCTGCGGTTCTAGAGCTGAGGCACTACAGCACAGGCATCAAAAATCTCATCCAAATTCCTAGTTTTATATATGCTATGACTAAAGTTTTAAAAAATCATTACCAGACAACTTCAGTCTCAAATCTCTTAAAGTCTCTTAAATCTGTCTTAAATACCTGGATATCAAAAACCTCTAACATACTTGCTCCTGAGGATAATTAGCCCCCAAATTATTTTTTTAAGTAAGTATACCTGAAATATATTGATAATTTACAAACACGTTTCAGGGTTACATGATTGGTAAGTAAACAAGTCTTTGGTAAATAATAACTACTCTGTTCTTTACTCAGTTAAAAAACTTAATTCATTTTAAAATCTAGATTAACTGATTTTTTTAATAATTATTTCTATAATGAATAAGGCTTATATGGCGCAATGCTGAGTGGGATGAATGTGTGTACGTAGCAAAACCTGAATGATGTTTTCAGGTTACAAGTCCTGTTAATAGTAGGTTCCTGCTCTGGCTCATTTTCTTTTTGTGCCCTTCAGCCAGGCCCAAGAAGCTGAAGCTGAATCTGAATGAGAGCTTTCTAATGAATTAGATTTCCAACTTTTAAAGGTGTCAGCAATCTAGAAAATACTGTCCATTGCAAGGATACATTCTACAGTAGGTGCTGGATTGTATGCTAAAAACTACAACAAACCAATTAGTTTAAGGTTGAAATAATACATTATAGCTGCAGTATTTCCTAAAAATGTCTGCTTTACCACTTGTGCAGTAAAACAGAAAATCTATGCACTATGCATGCTTGTGCGAGTTGGAGATGACTGCTTGCTCCCAAAGGAAACCTAAAGGCACAGGACATAGGTAATGTGAATGAAAATCTGGTAATAAACATTGGCTTCTGTCTTATTACAAGGATCCAATTAGAAACGGAATGCCTAAACTGATATTTTTACTGTTTGTGTACTATATGCCTTCACTTTGACTAAAAGATACTATAACATGTTCCTTTAAGAAAAATAGCAGCATTAAATAGATCTTGTAATTTCAGAGGAGAAATAAAAAGATGTCTGCTTTAGGTTTGACTTAGAGAGTTTTGGGGATTATTTTAAACATTTCCAAGAAATGATCAGATTATTTTTGATGACTGTTGCGGTTTTACTGTTCTACTACAGTTTTTTAATCATCTTCCTTGTTAAAGGATCAATTACATTTGAGACAATAAATAGTATACTTTACAATAAATAATATTCAAGTCAAACTATTGTACTTACAAAATAATGTAACACTGTAATAGGATCTTCAAGATCAATTCCATTTTATATATTCTGCAGCAAAAATAACATTTCTAGTAGGAAGGAATTACTTATAAACCTAGCAAGATCTACACATTCACATGTGTGTGTAAACAACTTAACAAGGTTTATTACATTTCCAGAAAAGCTGTGCTTTTACAGTAGGTTTTCAGCTAAATGTTGTCATAATATGGTAGTAAATGTATAACAGTGCTTATATTCAGCTTCATCACAAATTTTAATTTGCAAAAAAAATGGAGTGCCATTATTTACAAAGAACAGTAATTTTCCTTTTGCTTCACAAGTGACTGTATCTGTGTGTGAACAAAATGTTAGGGCGAGGCATTCCAGACGAACTGCAGCTAAGGTTAGACGAGGATGATTTCATGATGAACAGTGAAGGTCCTGGCAATAAATACCTAGAAAGGATATGAAAAACATAGCAGAGTTTACAGGCAAAGTGACATTCAAGAGCAAAAGAATTAGTTGTTCATACGCCATACCTTAAAATCATTGTATGCAAGAAATTATGTACAATAAATTCTATTTGCAAAACATACAGGGCATTAGGCACTAGCCAACTCAGGAAACAGATCTAAACTCAGAGAAACTCTTAGCAAAATTTCAAGATGTTGTACGAGAATCAACGTCTTTCCAGTCCTTTATGTTTAAAGCGACTGGGTAAATAAAATAATGGCATCCTGTGTAACACTACTACCAAAAATTAATACTTCACCCATTGTTCTCTGTTATTATAGTACTATTTATTCAATTTAAACTGGGTAAAAACTGCAATTGATGTTAACCAGATTATAAAAAGTTAAGTTGTAAAAAAAGTTGATTAGGGAAAAAACAGAATTTTTCAGCTTTGGTTTCCAGCTCTAATTCTCTAAAAGTAGCCATGCTATCATCACTACTCTAGTAAAGCAAGAAAAAATGATGCTACAACCTAGTAAGTCACATCAGTGACTATTTGCCTTTTAAATTCAGGCAACTATATAGCCTGTATTTTATGTAATACTACAAACAATAATTTATCAAATGCCTAATATTCATTCTTAAATCTTTTCATGTTATCATTTCCTAATAGTTAATTGCAGAAGTCATTAGATGAGCACAGTGTGTGCAAAAATAACATCCAGACTAAATCAGAATTTCATAATGAATTATGTCAATGTTAGTATGGATTAACACAACACATTGTACAAATTATTGCTTAAAAATTGTTGCACTATTCTAGTGAATCATAATGATTAATGATGAATAAGTTAAAAGACTGATCCTACTAATCACATGGATAGAAACAGCATCAAACTGTCAATGGGAGACAATCTATTTAAGAAAGTGTACACATTTGGTTTGTTTAAGCTTTGAGAAAAGCTGTTATAAAAATATTATCACCAAAACATTTTTTTAAACAAATTACAAAAAAAAATAAAGTCTGATTGGTACAGGTTGGTGGTAAGCTTGACAGTTCGCTACATCACCAGACTGAGTCCTACCTGTGCTTGACAATACAGTAAAAAACTCTAATGCTTCCCAGAGAACATGCCATGTAATAGATAAGATCACTTAGCAAGCTGTAAGGACCTAGCAGTAGATGGTACTTTTTTTTTAAATCTGTAACACAGGTGAATTTATCAAAATATGAAAAGTCTGACTTTTTACACAGTTTGATTTTAGCTATTATTTCAAAGAGATTTAGGTATAGTTTTTGAGCTCTCCTATTGTTTTCTTTACACTTTTAATTTTGTGAGGAAAAAAATGACAATAATACACATCGACATTAATACTCCTATTCATTTTCTTCATGACATACAGTGAATTTACAGCTAGGAGATGGGATTGAGAACAAATTTGAAAAGTGAAAAAAGAACTCTGTGGCTGCTTTCATTATCTTTTTCTCTCTCCCTGTACAAATAAATTTTCCCAGCTAAAGAGGTATCTATTTGTAATCTTTCAAAGCTTTCGTTTCACAAACATTTGTTTCATAAACACAAATAAAACAAAAAATTGGTTTGTGCTCAGAAAAAACGAAGTTCTTCAAATTAGATTTTATAAAGTCTTGAAAAAATTTACTTCTTTTACATCTATTAAATTATACTCTGATCTCTTCTTGCACTTCACACAATTTTACAGAGACTCAAGAAAACTATTATTAGTAGTGCAGATTCTTGTATCATTTAAAAACAGAAATGTAGATGAAAAGTGAAAGTATTGTGGTTCTCCCATTTCTAGAAAAATAGTTCATTACCTTAAAATTGTGGGGCATAATGGGCAAGAGCATTTATTTCCATATGTATCTTTCATTTCACAAATTCAGAATATCGTGGTTAACTAGCGTATTGCTGTCTCCACAGTATAGAGGTAACGTTTGTGGAGATTAATATAAAAACTGTAACTTTAATCCATCAGAGTTGTCATGACTCTCCATTGCTGAAGACATACTGATATTCAGGATATAGAGGGCTTAGATTCCTCTAGCCTGTGAAATTTATGAATAAACTTCCATTCAGCATCCAAAGAAACACAGAAACTGGAGATGAGAAAGTTCTATTGGACCATCCCTTTCACTGCTTTCCAAATGCAAGCCTGTTAGCTGCAGTACCCTAGAGTAATCCAATCAGTTTGAATAGTTTGTGGTTGGTCATGATGAAAAATTTTCTGCAGTATTAACAGTAAAAGCAATAAAAACTTCAAGGTTGAAGATTTTCTTGTCTTAGCTAATCCAGATGACTTTACCATAGTCCTGCTATAGCTCAGTAGATGTTAATATTGAATATGATTTGTTTTGTGGCTAACCTACTTTTGCTGTGACCAAACAAATTCAGTTTCTGGTTGGTTTTAAATTATGTTGGAGTGCCTTAAGATCCATATGACAATAACAAATGGGTTCAGTGTATCAAATAACTAGTCTGAGATATAGCAAGTAAGCAATTAAGTCATAAAATAAGTTTAACAGATAATATATCAAAGGTTTGCTTTTCACGTAATGTTTAACTCATAAAGCCCTTCTATGAAATAATGTCTGTAAGATATTTTATATAAACAAAGCATTTGTAAGTTTAGATACGTAATAATTCAAATTGCCATTATGGATAGAATTTGGAACCCAAGTAATGTGAAACCTACATTTAATTCTCCACCTACAACTGTTAAATTGCAGATCGTTGACTCCCACAGTTGGAGCATTTTCAGTAATCCCTATACTGACAATATTATAGTCCCTATTGTATCCAGTTGGAGAAATAAACCAGCCCATGGAGAATCGGGTAAGTGCCAAATAATTTTTTTACTATATGATGCTGTTTTGCAAGGTTTGAAAACGTATTTATGCTCTGCAAGATGAAATAATGAAACTTTCAATATGTAGGTTTTGGAAATCAACTTTGCAAAACTGTGCAATACAGTAAATCAGATGGCACTTACCTGACTCTTGGCTGGAGCTGTGCCCCTATAGCATCCCACTGCGAATGTGAAGCCAGAAGTATCATGCATGTTAGGATACCTCTAGGAATGCAAATCTGGAATCAGTGACTTTGAGGGATCTGAGAAGGGGAAGAAAGGAAATTTTCAGTTCACTTTATGGAAAGCCTTTGCTGCAGCTACTCAGGCAGTAGGCAACCAAGACTTTAATAAGTGTAGTTTCACACAAAATGTGTATATCTAGTTGTCTTTTAGCAGAACTTCATGAGTGGGCTAGAGAGATTAGAACAATGGAAACTCAGGATCAAGGGAAATGTTGGGAGCTTTGCCTTTTTTTTTTTTTAAATATATAGTGAACTAGGCTTAAAGAGAACTGTAGTAGTAGCAACATAGACTGAAACCTGTTCCAATATTATCCTTTGTACTTATAATTTAGGAAGAGAATTTTGAAATGTATACCTTGTATCATCCCAGTGGGGGCTAATTCCGGTTGGGGATCCTCTTGAATCTGATGAATATTTGTAAACCACCAGCAGGCAGTGTTTACAAAGCTGTACTATTCGTTGGCAACACTGGAGTTGCTCAGGAGTCACCACCTCTGTGCCTTTACTGAATATGGTTTCCCAAGAGCTCCTGTTACGGAAGAAGACATGACTTCATGTTTTCTGTCACAAATTGCAATGTGAGAGCTTTACTGCTTTATATCAGAATTAACAATAGAGGAACAAGAAAAAAAGCATGACCTTGCCTGTTTACAGGAAAGGTCTATATTATTTAACACAAATGCTGGCAGATGCTGAGTCCAAAACACAAATTAAGAAGTTAATCTTCATATGTGAAATGTCCACTGCCATTTTTCACTTGGTTTGTTCCCTGCAGCGTTTAGAGGGCCATTACTTAGGTTTAGCACATAAAGATTTACTGTCACATAATTGATTATGTGTCTTACAACAGGAATAACAAAAAATACTTATTATTTTTAACAGGCTACCACCTGAATGCGAATGTGATGTGATATTAAAGGAATTAATAAAAATAATAAATTATTTCTAAATGTCTACAAAGCATAATAATACTCTTCTTCTAATTTAAGTACATGATACTAAGAAACAAATATGAAATTAATTTACAGGAGATTAGTATGTGTTCTGCTTCCTTATCCAAATACTCATATGAGCAGAGTTTCTCAGTTTAGTCATTCAAATACTACTTATTACTCCATCTGGTCATATGGGGTTGGTGGTCTACTATTAAGCACAACTTGCAAAATGTATCTGTAGAAGCATTCCTTTTTGAAATACAGACCATCATACTTTTGTTTTCTTAAAAAGCCATTTCTCTTTCCAAAAAAACCCAAACCCTACCATACCAATTTAAACCAGGTATGTTTTACCACAGAAGATGACAATAGTCCTTTGCATATACTTCAACACTTCTGTTTGTGCAAAATTCTGACCAGATTACAGATCATTACATCTGTTTTAAAGGCAACATGGCCCCTGTGAAGACATTTTTTTGGTCAAAACATTATCCAGTAGCACAGATGGTTTGTAAACTTGAGGTTTTTTGTTTGTTTGTGAAAGAAGCACTTCACAGAGTGAGGAAAATTTGCTGCACCTGGCTTCAACATAACATCCAGGATGATTTAGCCTTGTCTGCTGAGATCAGCAGTAGATTTCACATCCCTAGTGTAGGAAGTTTGTCCTTAAAACAACATCAAAGAACGAGCAAGCTTACTTCTGCCTAGTGAGATTTTCGAAATTATGCTATATTAGGATGGAATTATGAACATTAATGACTAAAAGATAAGCTCTATGTACAGCTAATGGATTTTTCAGCCTGGTTCCTTAGTCTAGATAATATGTTCCAGCTGAAACTGTTCAGTCCTACACAGTTTCCACTGCACACATAATTTTCAAGTGATGCAAGCATTTCTCATTAATTATTATCCATATAATGAATTGTTCAAGAAATATTGTTTATAAGACATCAAAACTGTTTCATTTCATAAACAGAATAATTCTACTACTTGAAGAGCTACTATTTTCTTTAATGTATTTTTCTCAATATTGTTTCCTGTCTGGGAACTTTCCACATGTATTTTTACACAGAAATTAATCTATTGTCTTCATTCTTTCCTCATGAAGTCATGTGATGGTTGGTAGAAAGCAGAAAGATGAAGTTCTAAGTAATACATTCGTTCAACAGATTCACAGTGCTACACATAATTATATTCTAATTCAATCCATAAATCTCCAAAATCTTGTAGAAGAAACTCTCCTGAGAAATTCCTTAAGTTCTGGGCTTTGAGGTCTGTGATCACCTTCCACTTATGAGGGATTTTATCAGTGAAGAATAATATGTGGCCTGCTGTAACTATAGCCGATTATGAACACAGTGGTATACAGTTACCCTAATAACAAAGACTGAGATTTGGAAATATATATGTGAATGTTAATGAGCTTTCCTATAAATATGCCTGTGCACCCTCCTCCATGTGCTACACAGATTCAGTTCATACTCCATTATACTGCAGTCAACAGGGATCAGAGTACTGGTACCTAACGAAGCTTAATTTGTTATGCTGTAGCTTTAGTTTCCATACATTAGTAAGAAATCATGGACTCCTCACCAGATCCAAAAAAGAGTATTATGCTTGATTGTGCAATATTGTCAATTATGTGTTATTCTTTTTATAACCATCTGAAGTCAACTGGTTCTACCAGTTTTCTCTTATTAATTCTGTTTATTATACAGTAAAACAAATGTAGCTTTATGAAACCATCTACATCACGGTAATTTCACTGAGGTTTTCTTTGTTTCTTTGGTCATTCTTTTTGCTAAAATAGCATACATCTGGCAGAGATCTAACCAGCAAGAGGAAACCTTACGGCTATTAGCTCTGTTCTTTTCCCAAGACATAATCTTACGAATAGTCAAAGCACTATACTCAGTCTATTTTCATATACGCATGTTGTTCCTGAATTACCATATTAATAGCCCTTCCCAAATTCCACACATGCCCTATGTTTATTCCAATCTGTTCTTTAAAATGCCACAATGAACTCTAAGGAAGAGTGATGAGAAGTTGGCCTCTCTGCTACAGAGGTGCTGTCATGAGTTGTCTGTTGTGTATTACATGGCAAGAAAGATGCTTGTAACTGAATAAACAACATACTGGGAAGATACAAACAGCCTTTCGGTTTTCTTCTGTGAATTCTGTATTAAGTATATTACATGCAGAGTGACCTCTGCACATACTGGATACTTGTATATTACTTTTACAGTATTTTTAGAATCTTTTACATAGCAACTCTTACAACGAATTGGTTCTTTGTCAAAGAACTGAGCTCTGCTTTGGAGTCAGCAGAGTCTTGTTCTGCATGAGTAAAATTATTGCTAGATAAGAAATCCTACTCTTCTTTGAACTCTTCTGCTGGCTCAGAGACTCTTCTCCCAGGCCAAGAGAGCAGCAGAGTTGTTCAAAGGTTTTGAACAAAAACTATTCTTCGTAGAGAAAAAAAATCCAAAATGAAAATTTTCATGCATATTAGAAGATTTGCACACTAAAAGTAAAATTCAAAATAATAACAGGATTATTAAAAAGGAAGGTAAGTATTATATTTTATGACAATAAAAATTGACCATGGACTCAAGACTTCACACACCTCTGCTGGCATGAAGAAGAGACCCTGCAGCTGCTGAGGATTATACAAAGAAAATGTTTCAGATTGGAGACACGGGAACCTTATCTCACCCTACTTTAACTTTTGGAGTGTGCTGCATTCCCAATACCTGTATCTAGCAAATCTTAAGGCTGACATCTGCATGTTCCCACGGCCTGCCTCAGTGAAAAAAATGTGGAGACTCCTAACAGCTTGCACAACAACAACAAGCTTTCATCAATGAGAACATAATGGTGAAAAAGCCCCAAAAAATTATGACCTTTTGGATACTCTCAGATCCCTCTTCTTGTTACCCATTTTGTTGGGAAACAATTAACAAGTGCATTACATGCATTCTCTACATATGACAAATGACTATATGTGAAGAACATATTGACCTGACTCCTTTGTACATACAATATCCATCAGCATGCTATGTGTGTTTGTTGCAGTTCCTTTTCAATAAATCTCTTAGACCACCTTATGCAAGCTAATCAAAACCCCTCCTATTCTTTATACATTCCATATACTTACAGAGAAAATGTCTTTTTGTATGCAATATATTTCATATTTACACACTTGTATTCTTATTTTATGAACAAATTTTGTGGGTGGGGAAGATTATTTTATACCTATGATCTGATTCTCCAAACCTATCCTTACGTGAATGCCTTTGATTTCAGGAATGTAGATTTTGAAGTGTGGGATATTGAACTTTTAATATATGGCCTGATCTTTTCTCCCCCCATAGAAAACTTGTATTTGCTACCCAAAATGAAAACATCTGCTTACCTCAGAGTGTGGACATTTGCCATTCCGCATATACTTAAATTCCCACGAGTGTAGGAAACAGTGAACGTAATCAAGCACAGAAATTCAAACTCATTATTTGTAAATCACAGAACTGACATTGCATTTGGCATGAGATGTCAGCTGCACTTGTGACTGAATTCTTCACTTCCAAGTCTTGAGCTCAAATAGACATGACAATGATTTCTGTTGATGGTAAGTCCACATTTGACACTTACAGCGGTCTGGCCTCAAAATTGTGCACCATCCAACAAAAGACTTGACCTAAAGCTCAGATATTTTGAAAATTAGATTTTTTTCCTTAGATTATTATATTTGTAAATAGATTACTAAATGTCTGATTCCATTACTGAAATGGTTGGCCTAGATTATTAGATTTCTAATTACACTCTGTCTTTAGATGGTTTTAAACCAAGTTCGATGTATTACAGAATTCTCTTGAATGAAAATGAGAAACAAAGTATGCCAGCATTGTTTGTAATTGTCAAGTTATGAAGAAGACGAAGATAAGAAAAGTAGGCTTACCCTGAATTACAGAAACAGTTCCATAGACCTTGACCATGGCTCCAAAGCAAGCGATTAAATACACGGTTAAAGAGGCGGTACAGATGTAAATTTTCAATGTCTGGAGCCTTCCAGACACGCTGTAGAACTGCACGAACACTTGTCTTGACTATGTCCAAAACCTAGGAAAGAGTATTCCAAGCAAACCAAAGCAAAGGCATATTGCCTAAAACCAACTGTTCGCTGATTCACTGCACACACACACACACAGATGGCTGCATAGCTATAAATTCCCACATATGTCTATGTCTGTGCATTCATCAGCAAACTTTTATTATATGCTTTTTCTGTCAATAACATTTTGCAAAACCAAATCAAAATATTTTATGTTTATTACAGAAAAGTTCATTTCTACTTTTGTCAGTCTGTTCAATACTAGCTCATTTAAATGACAAAAAGAGTTTGAAAAGAAACAAAATGGACACAATTACAGACTAGAAGCAACATAATTAACAACCTAAATATTATATACTTGAAGATTATCTCTTCTTTTCCCCTTCCCATTTAAAATACCGTCAATTTTATAAAGAATCACAAAAAGCTATAAGCTGCTTTTGGTTTAATGTCTGTTGAATCTCAGTGTTACCCTAGATCAAACCATTTTAGTTTACCTTTCACATGGGAAACAGTGTAGTGAAATCAATAAGTAACAAAATAACCAGCAAGATATTTAAAATAGCAATGTTTATAGAAATACAACGGATTTATTATATGCAGACTACATTTAAATGCAAGTGTGTAAAGATGTGTAAAGAACAAAACACTAAGCTGCATTCAGTATACCACGGAGAGTTTTACCCAGTAAATCTTAGCTACTCAGTGCACACACACACACTTACAGGCAGTCGCTCATCCAACTCATCAGAGTCCTCTTTGATGCGCGTTTGCACATCCCACTGAATTGGGGCATGGAAGGTGGGATTCATCTTGCCTGCTTTTAAACATCTGTATGTTCTCTTAAGTCAGGCCTCTAAGTTCCCTCCATAATCACTGGAGAGAAACAGGCTCTAGTGTCTTGGCTTCTGTCTATTTAGATACTATCAGTACAACAGGGAATAGTTTTGTGACTGAAGTAGTATTTAGGCCCCACACTGGCATGCTGAACAGTGTAAAATCTGCCCTAAAAAAAGTCTACGGTGCATGTAGCCTATTAACAAAAAGGCAACATGATTTCCCGTAAAGGAGACACACGTACTGCCTCTTTCGCAAAACAGCATCTTCCAAAAAACCAGTCAGACTCAAGCAGGTGGTGAACCAATGGAGGGATTCATTTATTTGGTATAAGATGTTGCAAATTCTAAGATTTAGAAGGTACAATACTTGCCCAGGAGTACTCTGTGTGTGTGTGTGTGTGTGTATATATATCTATACACACACACACAACTTTCAGGTGTGCATAACAAACTGATTTCACGTGGTTAAACATTTGACTTTCAAAAGGTGAAGGGGATTTAGTAAAACAGTAAAGTATGGAAGCATGATGTAGAACTTCAATTTTTTGGTCCTGCATAACAAACTGTTGTTTGTAAATAGTCTGAAGAGACACGATGAAGGAAACAAAGCAAAAATAAACAAAATGCTTGCAATAGCACAATGGAGCTGTGTAATAAAGAGAAATGCTTCAGGGGCAGAAAATCTATAGACGCCTAATAACGAAAACCTCGATGAAATATGTCATTTATGTGTTATTTAAGCTCTTTTTTGAAGACCTAGGATTAGTCTGCATACATAGGTCTTGCATTAATTCCATGCACATATGCACCCAATGTGAATAAAATGCTGTCCTCTCTGTTGGGAATCTTTATGAATGCAGGTGTCTTAACTCACAAAAACCACACCTGTGGTCTCTTTCTCCCAAAGAGTGAGATAAAAAGAGTAGTAAATTATAACCCAAGGATGGTGATCTTGTTTACTGACTACAGGAGCTAAACCCAGGTTTTGGACTGCCCCACATTTGTGGAATGGGTCCAGATTTTCAGACATTCCCTTAGCAGCATTAGCCTACTGTCTTAATGCTTCTCAAGCAGCCTTTTCCTAGTGTCTCACCTGATTAAGGCTTTCCCACACAAATGGCCAGTAGCTGTGATTGTATACATCCATTTGAACCAATTAAGTCCCTAAATTACATAAAGGATCGACCATACATTTCTTTGCAATGTTACACTGACTAATAGCAATTTATCTCCCTGTGTAAAACAGAACAATTCGACTCCGTATAGGTTCTCTCACTAGTCCAAAAGACGTGTACTAAGAACTATGATGCCAATGTGCAGCATTTTCTTTTACTTTAGCACCTGGAGCTGAAGAAAACTAAGGACTTAGAGCAAGCTGCAAACTGCCCGGTACTCTGGAAAAAAACTTTCTTGCTGTTTTTACTGTGTTGATATTGCCGTTAAGCCAGAGGGGAAAACGTCCCAGTTAATTGTTCTTAATTTGCAAACATGGCCTCAATCATCCACTTAAGAAAAGAGACAAGGCATTGCACAAGAGCTGGAACTTCATGAAACCTACATCCCCATTTTTCTAAGTTAATTTCCCTAGTTTGCCTTCATCTTTCTGTTTACTTTAATTTACATCATTTACTTTAACATAACCAATTATCTAGGTGTAACAGAACAAGATGTTATGAAAGAGCATATTCAAAAGAAGATGTACAGACCCTCTGGTAACCATCAAAACACTTTTAAAGAAATTACGTAAAGTGAAAGCAGTCACAACTCCTCCCATAGAAAAGTCTGTTTTTCCTAAAAGTCTGTTTTTTCTAAAAGTCTTGGGAGACTAAATTTCATTTTAGCATGTATCGATTTCATCAGTTTACTCTCAACTTGCTTCTAAATGCCCCCTGTACCTCTGCTGTAATGCTGGAATATTAGACACTAAGAATATGAGCAGGAGTTTAATTTTTCTACATCATATTGAATAATTCCTAAGAAAATATACCTGTCAGAGATTAACATTGTGAAATCTAGTACATTGCCCAGGTATTTTCTTCTCGTGTTTCAGAACTTCCCAGTAAGTATAGTGAAGGGGACTGAGTTTCTGGTTTGTATTTCAGAAAGTTGCAGAAGGTACCTTTGAGACAGATTCCTTACTTGCATAAATATTCTCCACCTTGAGCTCGCTTCTCCTTTACCCACCTCATTGGAATATAAAACATACTTCTTTCAAATCAACAAAAGCTTACACATTTGGCAGTCCTCAGCTGCAATGTCATTGTCAAAGTTAATCCGTTTTTATAAACTACCCTTCTAAGAATAACTATCTGATTGCTTGAAGGGATTGAGGTTAAAAGCAGTTTAAAAAAAAAAAGGCAAATCATTTCCAGTGCAAGCAAAGATGAAGGGCCCACGAGTGCTTCAGGAATTATAAGTCTCCTAAGTTGTAAAAGATGTCCTCACAAGAAGAGCAAGGAAATCCACATTTCTGATTATGCAGTTTTTGCTAATAACGACCTGGCATATCAACCCGTACCATCCTGACTTTGTACATGTGCCCTTGGTTTTTCATGACTGTCAGTCAAATAAAGGACAGAACCACCCTTTATTGTAGGCTTTCTGAAATAATGCTTAAAGGAGAAAATTCTGACTAGATTGAAAAGAAAGTAAAAAAAAAAACAAAAAAAACCCAAAAAAACACCAAACAGACAGGCACAAGTAAATTAAGCCAGATGGCCAAAAGGAGCTTAGGAAGGGCAATTGAAGAATGTGTAGTGAACGGCCTCAGCCCCTCAAAGAGTAGATGTATCACTCTCCCTTGGCAATTCCTTCCCATAGTTTTGGGGAATGACCTATGGGGAAGAGTTGAAAGAGATGCCTTAACCAGTCTTGTGTGAAAGCCCTGTATCTCAGTTGGAACGATGGGCCCAGTCTGGTGACTTCTTTCCACACTTGTGGCATCATAGACTAAAGAAAGTAATTCTTGCAACACATTCTCGCAACACATTCCCCCACCAGTTCCAACTGTCCCAAAGATGACATCTCCATTGCAGCAGCAGTGTGAATTTTGGGCCCTGCTATGTATGCATGTATGTACTTAGCCCTCCCTCCCTCCCTCCCTCCTGGCAGCTCTTCCTCCATATCACCATTCTCTACAAGCCCCCACTAAGACTCTCTCTGGTTTTGGGCAAAAAGCTACAACTGCCATATGCACACAATAGAAAAGACCTGTGTGCATGTATATCGGGATTACAGCACCCTTTCCTGTAATTAAAAAGAAATGAGAGATGATTTTAAGCAAAGGACTATTCAGCAGAACAGCTGTAGATATCAAACAAAAAATGACACAATTTCAGCCAATGAAGTTGGTTGCTCTACTGATTCCTGTCAATGGCACAAAAAATAATTCTGCTAAATTATAGATCTGTGCTGCCATTTCACATGGTTTGAGAAGAATTTTGATTAAATTATAGCCTCCTACGTTTCCAAGTTCTTCTTCAGTTTCTCATGACTAATTTAGTTTTAGAAAGCTGTGTGGACACATATTCCATTTAAAATCTGAACTTAACTTGAGTAGTCAAATATATTTCTATTGTATGAGATCACATTAAATGGACATGTTTTCTCTGTCCAGTATGAAAATACAAGCATTTAATGCAATATTCAATAAAATACAATTTGAAAGACTGAGGATCATACTGCTGATTTTATAAAAAGTAATTTGAGATGAGGATCTGAAATTGTTCTTCCATTCTTCTATAACAATCTACCAACCTTTTCCAATTATAATATTTATCATGTATGCAGCATTTTGATTAAGTTACTTTCTTTTATGGTCTATGAAAAAAGATTGTGAAAATAAGACAAACAAGAGATTAAATGCCTGGAACTGATATGCTAATTCACATAATGTGTCAGTGACTGAGGCAGAGAAAGACCCAAAATATTGCTTTAGGGGCACCAAAGTATTAATAATAGATATAATTTCTGCTACATTGAGGAAAATATTACACTGGGAAGATGATTTTGACTGACATATGACATATAAATATGACTGACATACTACTGTATGTCAGGTTTTAAACAGATCAAAAACTCTTTAGATGCTATGCACAACAGTAGCTCCTAGACAGCAGATGAGTGAAGACAGAATGATAAAGAAATATAATTAGTCCTTTGCAAGACTAAACCAGTTAGTTGAACATTATAACAAAGTCAATAATCTTTGCTTGGCAGGTCTATTTTTTATTCAACATGATCTGTTGTAATACTGTGGGTCAAAGACTCAAATAACCAAGTGCAATATCACTAACTCTAATGAAGTTTTAATATGCCTGGTCTGAAACTGCTGACTGGTTTATCCCTTATCAATCAAATCTGCTGAATCAATACACTTCTAAGAATGTTTGCTAAAAATTAGGTATGTAAGCATTAATCATTTATTTGCTTGCTTTTCTTTCAGCAGACTAATTTTTTAGAAATTGTTTTTGAAATTTTTGTCCAGGATAACTATGCTTGTCTAAATATGGAGCAACATAATTTCTTGCAATGGAATTAATTCATATATATGTTAGTATTAATAGCCAGTATTTTAGCATCTCAACTCACTCTCAGCTACTGCTAAACACCAGTAGAAACACTGCTGTGTGTCTACTTCAGATGATCTTCAGAAAATGAAATACATGTCACTTACTTTTCGTTGCTTTACAGAATCCAGTTTTACCAACCAATAGGATGCCACTTTTGTTTTATGGTACTTCCAATTATCCATAATCTGTAGTCATTGCAAAACACAAGATAAAGCAAATACACATAAAAACAACTGAAATCTCGCATTTCATTCGTAAGTATTCCTAATGCTAAAAAGTGTGAGCATCTAAAAGACCTCTGTGAAAAGAAGTTTTCCCTAAAAGAAATAGAAAAATATTTGCAAATTTACATGGGGGAACGTTTGCAAAGACATGTGCAATCTTTCAGTTTAATCCTACCCTCTTTTCCACCTGATTCTGACAGTCGTACACTACAAAGCAGGTAGAAACTTTTATTGACTGACCCAAATCAGATTCCTTGAACGCAGCAATAAGTTCAATAATCTATTTAAATAGTGAGGTTTTTCGCTGCATAAAGGACATTAGACATACCTTGAAAACATCCTTTCTGTAAATGATCATATATGAACTCTCCTTTTATGATGTGTTAGTTCAAGCTGTGAACATAGATTTTTATTTTCATTTTGTTATTTTATCTTTCTATTCTATTCTAAACCTACAAGTTCTGTCTCACTGATAACTAATATACCATTACTTGTTTCGTTCCGTGATCGAATATTGTTTCCCATCAGAAACTGCTTAAGGCCAGACAAATTTATGAGAGAATTCTGCAATAAGAAACTGCATTTATAACCATGCTAATGTTGTATGAGAAAGCACCACTAGATGGAGTGCATACACACTCACACTCCCATATGTACCTAAATGCACACACACTCCCACATGTCTGAAAGAAAAAATTTAATGAAGCATTTTATTTTCGATTCTAAGATGAGAAATTAAGTATGCTAGTTCTGAATGCTATCTTCCAGAATCACCCAAATCAACCATCATTACAGGAGAATTCCTTTCCACTGTGATGTAGTTGCACAGATTACTAGAGACATAATCAACATTTTGAAAGCTCATAGAACAAAGGACATTTCCAACCGGATAATGAATTAGATTAATTTTAACACACTGTGGACGGCACTTACTACATCAGAATACAGGTGTTAATTTAAATTACTAGATCCCTCCATATCTCTACTAGACTGAGAAAAGAACAACTATCTTCACTTTTTTTCTTTTGCAAGCTGATGCTAGTTTCTTTGTGCCAGATATTTAAAAGGGATTTAGATACCATGTATTTTCTGCTCATGTATCTGAATATTAGGTGTTGCTTTTTAATTGCCCTTTAGATTGGGCATTGTTTCATAAGGTTTTGCTACCAAATGATGAGGACAATATTGGATGTAAGAAAGCGTAAGCTGGGAAACTAGAAGAGCCACAGAGTGTGACTGGTGGTCTTTATGACTAGCAAACTTCCAGTTTGCCTTGCAGCATACCATTCTGAGTTCTCCAGTATGCCTATTCAAGAGCAAGTTAAACATGTCAGGATCTGTACTAACAATATCAGATGAAATATAAACTGTTAATGAATTGTAACATTCTTCTTAGCTTACTTAAAAGTTTGAACTTTTGCCACAATGAAAAACTGAATTTTCCTAACCTTCCTGATTGTTTCTCATATATTTTATAGAGACATAGGAATGTTTTAAGTGCTGCTCTTTTAAAATCAGAAAGTATGCAAAGCTCAAAGCTTTGAAATCTTTTGAATTACCCTGGGCTATGGAAGTTTTAAGGCCACGGGAGCTCATGAATCGTAAAGTGAGCTTTCTACTTTCCTTCATTTTAGTGGCCTAAATAGTGTCTAGCCTGTAATTCTTTCTTATTTATAGATACTTACATCTTCTATAATTAGTTCTGATTCTTCATCTGTTTTACCTGGGAACTTCATTCTCATGTCATTAATAATGAGAAGAGTCTCTTTTGTCAAAGCAACTTCTTGCTCTTTTGTTTTCTGTTGCAGCAAAGATTCACTCTAAAAACCAATATGAAGCAGATGAAAAATTTCAGGCATGTCATTAGATCACATTACAAAGATGTTTCCTTGACAAAAATAAATTCTACATAGGGTGACATAAAATATATTATTAAAGTGGATAGACGTAATATCTAATACATAACTAATATGCACATATATGCCTCATGTACACTAATGCATCACCATTACTTACAGTTGTCAAGTAATTAAAGAAAAACAGTTCAAATGTAAGTTTGTTTGAAACAGAATAAACAAATACATATTCGATATTTATGATGCCCACCATTTAAAATATAAATTTGAAATCTAGATAACAGACTTTGAATTTGAATTCAACATAATGAAAAGAAATTGTTAGTCATAAAAAACTTCCTTTCAGTTCTTCACTGCAACAATTTAACAGAAACTGCCAATTATATGTCATTGTGGCAAGAATTCAGGAAGCGTTAAAAAGTAAGGACACTTTGGTCCCACTCTAAGAGCATCTTCAATTGTCCAGGATTTTGCTTAAAATATCAGTGCTTTTTATACCAACACCACCTTGAACCCCTACAATGTCTGCATAAGACCATCTCTGGAGGGGTTTCGGGTTTTCTTTAAATCTTCAACACTAGTTAGAAGTATTTCTGATCCTTTTTCTTTACTTTTGCATACTTCTGCATTTGCAAGATTAAGTGGGCTTAATTTTATGTTTTTCAAGACTGAAATGCAAAATTTTTAGGCATTTCTAAATCTTTGTATTTTGTAAGAGCTATAATACTTACTTAAGAATATTTTTGCTTAAGTAAGTGATAAATATTTTCAAGCATAACAAAATATTTTGCTACATGATATATAATGTGGCTGAAATAAGATAGAAAATATTTCCAAATACACTTTTGTTTATAACAGCTATAATAATGTGTCTGTAATTCCCAGCTGTAAATGGCTTATTCTAAACTTAGTTTCCATACCTTTAGTACGTTTGGATCTCAGCAGCCTCCAAAAATGGCAATATATTGCTCTTTTCTTGCCCAAAGGATAGATAAACTAATACTTTATCATGCATAAATGGTTTCTTCTTAGTAAGTTACAGTTTATCAATTTCAATTTTATTCTAGCAGTAATATATAGTATATTATTCTTAGTTGCAAAAATAATTATGAACAGAGTTCCATTCACAATACAGTGCTAAATTATGAGTAGTTCTTATCCATTCTGTAAGTAATTTTATTCGCATTATTTTAAGAAGCGTGACCTAAGCTCTATCACCCAACGTAATTGTTCTGCATATCAAGATCATTTTTGTGGTGGAGCCTTCTCAGTGAAAAAGAGAGTATGGTTTCTTGCTAATGTTAATTTAAGTGAGTAGCCCATTTTTAATGTCAGATGGTAAGAGACTGTTTTTAATCTTTCAGTAATTTGTATTTGATATAGAGTTAATGTGAATAGAAAAATCTATATTAGCCCTGTCTCATTAAACTCTCAGAGTACATCTTGATGATAAAAGGGTACTTTTTAAACTTGAGATAGCTAATGTGATAAAAAATACCTTTAACACGTTGTGGTGAAGACACAATCTTAATGTCTTTCCAATTCTATTAGCTGACTTTAAAGATAGAAAACCATGTTAAGAAGTATTTCACAAGATGTCAGCACACAATTTTAAAAGGATCCTTTTTCATCATTTAGACAAAGCCTCACAGGCAAAACAGACAATGAGCATTCTACCAGATAAAAATGATGATTAGAGATAGTAAATCCTATGAAACAAGTAATTAGCGTTACAAAGGATTTCTCACAATCAAAGCTAACCACAATAGAGAAAGGCTGCAAATATGGGTGCAAAGTGACAGTTTGTTTTGCCCCATCTCCAGATGAATTATTTGGGTGATGAAACGTACATGTCAGGCACCAAAGCATGAATGGAAATGCACTGGGACCAACACCCAGTACAATACTGAATGAGGTTGGGGACCAATCACAGCAAACGCTGCCTAGGGATAAGTGGATATGTGGTCCACCATGCAAAGACAAAAGTAGAAATGCCTGGGTTGTGAAGGAGATACCAAAGAGGATGACAATCTGGTCACAAAAGGAAAAAGTGTATGGTTCAGAAGTACATTGTGAAATTACAACTAACCACACAATTTCTAAGCAGCTGAAAGTGTTTAAGCTGATTTATTTATTCTATTAATTATTTAGTTAGACCACCTGAATCTAAATGCTTGTCTGCCTCAGGGATAGGCTTCAAAATTTTATCTTCACTTCAAAAAAAATAGATGGCTTCTGAGGCAGTTATTGCAGTGGCAAATCCTAAAGATGACAAGAACTATCTATAAATTTTAAATTGTTCACTTTGGAAGTAGAGCTCTACTGCAGTGATATAGTATATGCGAATTAAGTACAGTAGATTAGAAATTAATTACACCTTCTTCTACAATAGACACCCATACAAAGTCTTACTAATGTTTTATTCTGGTACAATGTATTTACCCTTGGAGTATACACTGGTTTTGAAATATTGATGTACTTTTGTTACTGTAAAGACTTTGAAGGTAGGTACATCCTTATTTCAGAACCAGCAGTCTCCAAACAAATCACAGAAACTTTTTCGGAGAAAGAAAAATTCTTTCCATCTCCAAAACACTATTTAGGAGAGCAGGTTTCCCAGTCACAAAAACTCTAAAATTTCCATACTCACAAAATGTGACATCTGTATTGCTGCACCAGAAACACTGAAACAGCACAGCTAGCGCTCACTCTAAGTCATATGCAGGTCTAGATATCTTGTATTCCTGAGTTTGTGTCAAAACAGCATTGACTATAATACCTCAGGTTTTCTGACATTGTAAAAATTAGTAATATATTTATTGAGTTTTAGAGAAACGGAACACGTTTTGAATGCAACTGCTGTGTTAACTCACCCCCGAAGAGTTCATAGGTCCCAAGCTGGCTGTCTGAGAGACTCTGGCTGAAGATGGGCTGCGATTTAAAGAATGAGACCTATTCACTGAGGATGCACGCTGTATTTGCAGAGATGCTTTGGCTGAAAAGGGACGTTGCTCAGCTGCTTGTGACTGCATAGTCGATATTGAACGAGGGCAGCTTACAGAACGCCTTATTGGACCTGTGGATGATGTGGGGGATGAGTATGATGGAGATTTTATATTTTTATTTGAAGGTTTCCAGTTCATTCTGCCTGCAGACAAATTAAAAGAACAATAAGTAATAAGTACAAAAGAACAATAAGTAATTGCATCAGACATTTAACACCAATTTTTCAGTCTTTGTAACTAACAACATATATGACCAACATGTGTACACGCACATACGTTGTACTATAATGTATGTTGACTAACAACTATATATGTAGCAGTCAGTCATGTCAGATCCTCCTTACATACTCTATTAGAACTTTTATTTCTTCCTTATAGTCAGCTTTAATCAGGTAGACTTCAGTCCTCTATAACACGCATCAGATTTATGACAGAGTGCATATGCCCTATAGGTCCAAAAATATGTGGCTCTATGACTGGCTTCCTGACTGTAAGAATATGGAAGCAGGAGAGAAAATTTGGTTGATGGATCCCATATTTGCAGATCAAGTCTCCCTCATCTGCTCCTGCATAGCTATACAGTTTTTTAATTCAGTCTCCTGCTAAATAAAGAATGCTGCTATGAAAAATAAAATTTTAGAAGCAGCATTATATGTGTGCAATTACATGATTAAATTCTTTGAGATAATACACCACTAAAACAAAAAATAACATGCTCTATCTACCATGTTCAACAGAACACACTCACACTAATGCTCTGCAGCAAGCAAGAAAACAACCACAAAAAAAATCCGTGCAGGGATCTCATCTGGAATATATTACCTTCTATATGTCTCCAGGTACATTTCTTTATCCTTTCTATACTCCAGCAAAGTCAAGATTAATAAGACTACCTTTTACAGGGAAAAAAATAACAATCTGCTCAAAAAAAAAATTTAAGAGCAAAGAGGAACTTTCACACCATTTCCAAGTGTAGCCCAGTTGTATTTTTCTGTGTAGCACTCTTGCAAAAGAACATTCATTTTTTCCTTTTTTTTTTAAATTCATTTTCATTAATTTAGAAAAAATTTTTAAAATGACAAAACAAGCAAACCAGTGTTTAACCCTGAGTTACCAATGTTGATACATTCTGAAATACTGAAGCATTTTATAGAATTCATTGTGAATGCCAGACTTACTTGGCAAAGTGATCATTTAACTTACCTGATCGTTCCAAAGATTTGTATTTATTTTCTTCAAGATCATATGAAACTTTTTTCTCTTTTTTTTCATTATGATCTTCCTTTTCAGTTTCTTCTCCCGATTCTGACATACTGCTACCGCTATCACAGCTACTATCACTGTTGTAGTTCTTAAGTTTTCTTAAGGGCTGTGCACTTTCTGGCATTGAACACAAGGGCTAAAGTAAAAAAAAAAAAAGAGGTGGGGAGAGAGAGAGAACACCCAAGAAATTAAATTCCTTCATCCCAAAAGAACACTTTACTATGACACTACGTCCCTGATTCAGGCAGGTTCATTTGTAGATATTTAAACCCTCCTAAATTAGACTGGAAGTTTGTCCTTAATTTTGAAATAAATGCTTAAATGTTTCATTAAATTCACTACACAGTAATCCTAATCTTTCTCACATGAAGAGGAGCATAACATAGTAAGGGGGAAAAAAATAATTTTATTTCAAGTATGACTTACACTACCAGACACATTGATTGAATTACAGTTTGAAATCATAAATCAAGTGATACAGAATACCATTTACAATCAGTTTCAATCCCTCACTGATATTTGCAATAACTGAAGCTATAGTTTAACAATGATCAATGTGAAGTAAAGAAATACATCAGGGAACTTTGGCTGGTACTCTTCTGAAAGAGAAAGTGATTAATCCACATCCTGCAGAAAGCAGAAACTGGCAGAATATAGCAAGCTATGCTAGGTGTATTTGGTGTCCCGTATGCACATGGGATTCAGTGTCATTAGGTAATTAATCTTGTGCTATTACCAAGGATACTGCAAGACAAAAAAGCAAAAAAGTAGGAGACAGAGAAACTGATGCAAGAACATAAACTACAAATGAAAATTTTTCTTCTTCCACCTACCATCAGGCAGACAAGAAAAATGCAATATCCTCCATTATACCTACTATCCTAAGAAGCCTCATGTGGTCACTTTTTTTC